CAACATTTGTTGCTTCGTTTAACTAGAAAGAGGATGAGAATTTGAGCTTATAAAATACGATTTTCTGTCTTGACTATGGGGGGCAGTGTAGATGACATTCCAGGTTTCAAAGAAAAAGTTGAATCTTTGATCAAATTACACACTCCACAGTAAAAAGTGTAAGCTTCTTACCTGTGTTTCCTTCATAAAACTTTTTATTGCTCCGTCAAGCATTAAACAAAGCCGCCTAGTTTTTTGGGTATTTGATGCCGTGTTAGGACAAAACATCGGCGATATGGCCGAATTGAAGATTTATATAACCCTTATTAATCAAACGACTCCCACCCTTTCTCGAAGACGCTGCAATACTTTTATTAATATCAAAAGAGCAAATGCAATCGAGGCGATTAAAGGAGCGATCGGCACGTCCCAAAAAAGAGAAACGCTCACTCCCATCACAACGGAAAAAGCCCCCATCAAAATAGATCCGATGACAGCCCAAAAAGGAGATCTTATACTCAACGTTGCCGCCGCCGCAGGGACGACAAGAAGCGCAACAACCAAAAGAGCCCCCACGAATTTTAGAGCCAATGCAATCACCAGGGCTGTAAAAATGATAAAAACCCGACGGAGTGTATGAACGCTCACACCTTCTGCAAAAGCAATATCCGGCGCTATGGTAAGAGAGAGTAGATCTTTCCATTTCCACGTCAAAAACACACAAACAAACGCAGCCAACCCCCAAACCAAAGCAAGTTCAACAGACGTGACGGCTAAAATATCGCCAAAAAGATAGCGTGTTAAAATTTGAGAACCAGAAGGAATTAAGCCAACAATGAGCAACGCAAAAGCAAGCCCCCCATACGATAAAAGAGCCAACAAAGTTTCTTGCGCCCATTTTCCATGAGCTAAACTTTGTGACAACAAAAACCCCAAGGCCAAAGCAACACAGAGAACACCCCAGATTGGCGCCCAGCTCGCTAAGATCGAAAAAGCCAGCCCTAACAAAGACGCATGGGCTAAGACATCCCCGACAAAAGAAAGCCTCTGCCAAACAACAAAAATACCCAAGCCGCCCAAACCTACAGACAATCCAAGGCCACATAAAAGTGCCGGCAAAAGAATCGTTTCAATCACTGTGTTCCCCTCCCTCATGATCACAATGATCATGTGCGTGATTGTAAGGGACAAAGGCCCCGTGTACACTAAATAACGCTTGATACGATGGATCTTTAACAACTGTTTTTGGACACCCTGCACAACAAATATGGCCATTCAAACAAATCACCTGATCACTTTGCGCTAAAACAAAATGAAGGTCATGAGAGACAAGAAGAACAGCCATTTTTTCTTGTCGCACCAGCTGTACAATTAAGTCTCCTAAAATAGATTGCCCCGCAACATCAACACCACTGAGAGGTTCATCCAGAACCAATACATTAGGCCCCCCAATCAAAGCACGTGCCATCAAAACTTTTTGGCGTTCCCCACCAGATAAAACATGCAAAGAACGTTTAAGAAGACTTTCGATTTTCAGAAGATCAATCGCTTTTTCTAAATCTTTTTTTGTAACTCGTGGATGCAGTTTTAAGAAGCTTTCAACATCCACATTCAAAAAATTGCTAAAGTGAAACTTTTGAGGCGTGTACCCTATGCGCACACTTTTTTCTCTATTAATCACCCCTTGCGTTGGAGACAACAATCCAAGAACGATACGTACTAAACTCGATTTTCCTGCGCCATTCGGCCCCATCAGTGTC